TCTGCAATATGAAATGCAAAGAGGCATTGGAAACAACTTGAATATGAATGCAGAATCCATGGTGATGATGAGTAAGACAAGCTTAACTGAACATGGCATATCCACTCATTCAGCCAACTACAGTACACACAACAGAGGTTTTAAACCCTATCAGCAGAACACTAAGAAAGAAAACAAGGTAGTTTGCACTCATTGCGGGTATACTAATCATACTGTGGATAAGTGATATAGGTTGCATGGTTATCCACCAGGGTATAAACCAAAATGGAAACAAGTCATTACAAATGAAAATGCAAGAGGAGGCAATCAAGTTAGTGCTCATGCGGTTCAAGTGGAAAATGTACCTTAGGTGACAAGTGATAAAACAAGTTCTGTAGTGACTCAGGGACCAGTATCATCATCTTTTAAGCTTAATAAAAAATCTCACCAGTTCTCCAAATACCTCTCTTGTTCCCACAACATCTCATTCAGGTAATCATCTCAATTTTTACACTACAATAAGCGTCAATGTCATTTTACCAACTTGTTCTTCCAAGTTGTCTAGTGCTTTGAAAGAGTATGGGTTCATTCAATCACGTGTGGATCATTCCCTATTCACACTTCATAAAGATGATTTTACTATAATTCTCTTAGTGTATGTTGATGACATATTTGTAGCTTGTTCAGACATTAACAAAATCAGACAAATCAAGAAATTTTTGAATGACCATTTTAAAATCAAGGATTTGGGTCCTGTTAAATTCTTCCTAGGATTGGAAGTGGCACGTTCATCTAAAGGTCTATACCTTTGTCAAAGAAAATACACGATGGATCTCCTAACTCAATATGGCTATCAAGATTGTAAACCAATTTCCTTTCCATTGGATAGTAAGCTTCGTTTGAGTGTTCAAGATGATCATTACTTGGATGACCTTTCTGATTACAGATCATTAGTGGGAAAGTTGCTATACTTAACAAACACTAGACCTGATATCAGTTTTGCTATTAATACATTGGCCCAATTCATGCAAAAATTTGGAAGATCTCATCTTTCTGCTGCACACAATGTTTTACGCTATCTCAAGGGTTCTATAGGTCAAGGACTTCTGTATTCATCATCATCTGATTTACAATTAAAAGGTTTCTCAGATTCAGACTGGGCAAGTTGTGTTGATATCAGGAGGTCTATTACAGGCTACTGTATGTTTTTGTGAAATTCCCTCATTTCATTGAAATAAAAAAGCAACATACAGTCTCTAGAAGTTCAGCTGGGGCATATTATAGAGCCTTAGCAGCATCAGCTGCTGAAGTCATTGGTCTACTACAACTGTTTAAAGACTTCAACATTCCCACTTTCACAGCTACAATTTTTTGTGATAGCAAATCTGCTATAGCCCTTGCAGCCAACCCCATTCATCATGAACGAACAAAACATGTGGAAATTGATTGTCACTTCATCAGGGATTGGGTCCAGTCTGGTATCATTCATACTCTTTTTGTCCCTAGTCAACATCAAGTTGCAAACTTGTTAACAAAACCACTGGGCAGAGGGCTTTTTCAGTCTTTATTGTCCAAGATGAACGTACAAAACTTGTACTCTCATCTTGAGGGGAGGTCTTGGCATTCAAAACACATGTCACAGACACCTTATGCATACATGCAAGCTACAACAGATATAAATGGATATATGCACACGTGTGAAACTAACAAGAATTATCTAGAAAGTTCTAGTTAGATTAGTTGTTACATTTCTGTTACGTATACATCTTAAAAATACTCTTCTTGTAGCTATGAACTGTATGTATGATGTAACCTCCTCTTCATGAATAAACGAACTTTCCTTTCTTCCACCTTTACGCAGCTCTTATCATTTACGTTCAATAGCTTAGCCTATAATTCTAGATGTGTGTATTTCAGGGGATAAATTTAATCACAGGGGATGAATTTCAAGGTCACGCCTCAGAAAGCGGTAAAAGGTCACCGCTCTCGACTATAGAGGATCTCTGGGACTCATACACAAACAGAGACATCTGTTATAAATCCAAGCTCGTTACTAAAAAAAATTGCCTACTGATAAGCAATTTAAATACCCATATTAAAATATCTCGCGGTTTCATGGAGGATATGAGGGATGATGTTTGGAGCGGCTCTGATGACTTTTTTTTTCTCAATTATCTTTCTTTTTCTGTTTTCTTCTTCATTGTATCTTTTGTCTCATTTCCTTGCTTTCATTTTAATTGTAACATTTCTTGTCATTGAATAAAATTTTCTCTTCTTAATATATACATTGTGTGTGTGTGTGTGTGTGTTTCACATTGTGCCATTCTCTTTATTCAATAAAAGTTTCCCTTTCTAAAAAAGATGAAAGATATGCAGAGTTGTGAGTCAAGAGGCTAACCTGCGGTTGTTTTCATAAAATAAAATCATGGATCTTTTTTTTTCAGACTATGCCTTTGGAGAAGAAATTAAAAGAAGAGGTATACTCGTATACATACAAAATAACAACCTATGTCAATTTTTAGTCGCGTAATGCGGCGTACAAAGAGTTAAATTCAGGACTTCATTGGAGTTTTAATACTACTTCGTATTTTAAATGTGTGTCGGTTGATATTGAACTGACATTGAATGTATTTGATAACAGTTACACTGTGGAACCCATACAGAATGTTCTGCAGTAAGACAACGTGCGTGAAGCACATTCGATAATGGTTGGATTACAACCGACGTAGAATTTATTCTATAACGGTTGCGACAACCGACATGGATAACATCCGAGTTTCTATAACCACTGGAACAATGTCAGTTCCCGAACCAACATAGTATGTCGATTTTAATCGTTATGGAATGTGTTTTTCCCACTAGTGCCACCTCGGCTTCATAGACAATCTACATTGGTGACATGTCCATTTTGAGAAGGTACAATCCACACTCCCATTAAAGATGCTCTAATGTTATAGTTTGACAAAAACAGAAGAAAATAATGTCATGTAAGCAGTTAACATGTTAACCGATCAAGTCGCCTATTAAAAAGTTTTATTGAATGTTTTCTAAGTTTTGGGTCCGATTGAGTGATTACATAGTATGAGGACGTCATTGCTGTTTTTTTGCAACAGTATGAGGAATTATTTGATAGTTTTCCATAATATCTTAGTTCAAGTTTGGCTCCCCTGATTTAAATTTTTGCCTACATCAGTGAGTTGGGTAATTCCACCATTTGCAATGGAGCCAAAGACTCACTATTTTTTGGCTTGGGAATATGATGGAAAAAACAAAATGGCTCACTAAATTATCTGTGCTTGTTTGTTATGAAGCAAAAATCAGTCTATGCAACTTCGACGCGATTTTCACTATGAGTCATCTGGAAACAGTCTCTCTTTACTTTAATACAGAGGTAAAGCCGCGTACATCCAACCCCCCTTACCCCCACCGTAAGTGGGAGCCTGTTGGAAATATATGATGATATGAATATTATTTTTAGGGTCACATTATTGTGTCCTAAGATATATAATTGTATTAAATATGGAGAGGAGACTCATAATACATCAAAGAATAACTTACATATTTGGATTTAAATTAGAATTCATAATTGTAAAGAATATAAAGTGATGTATTAAAACAATGAATTTATTTGTTCTGTATTAGAGGATAAACAGTTGCATAAGATTATTTATAATCATCATATGATAAGGAATGTTGTTCAAGTATCATATAAGATGGTGTGACATTTTAATTTTTACACTTATATGTGCGCCTGGTCGGACATATTATAAGTGATAGAATTAAATGTCGTAATTTTAGAGACTCTCTAATTGTGTGAACAATGTAATAGCTGATCGGATTATTAAGTTGAATTCAAATTCAAAATGATTATCCTCAATTGCTATTTATGAGATTCATAAACTTGGATCCGTTTTGCCACTTAATTCTCATGGTTTAATGCATGTGTTTGATTTCCTTTTAAAACACCCCAGCACTTGGTCATTAAATTCTTTCAAATATACATACGGAGTATTAAAAGGGGTGCATGTCACCTTTGCATGTGACTGACATACTTCTCACGTAGCATAGCAAACAACAACTCTCTCTGCACACTCAATACATGAACGGTCCTTTTCTTTTGTTTGAGTTTAGTCATCTGTGACCTTTCTTTTCTTTTCCAAAGAAATACATAGTTTCAGACTATAGTTGTCATAAGTGGTTCAAGTCATCCCTTTTATTCGACAAAATTTGGTAACAGTCGAAGGTTTCAGTCAATGTAGCTATGAGTCTGAAACGTGGTTGGATTATCCTGGGAGCGAGCTAGCCAGACCCGTCCGAATAGCTATCGGGATACAGGGCTATCTTTTTTCAAGGTCAGTCCGTTTTAACGTGCGATCATGCGATAAGTTTTTTTTATCTTTACTTTTTATTTATTCTAATTTATTCTAATTATTATTATTATTTATTTCTTGTATTTGACGGTTAACCAGATGAAAACTCAGGATTTTCATCTGGTTAAACTCGCATTTTAATACTAGTATCAATTTTCTAATAGAGCCTTTGCGGCATTGGGGTAGATCGGTGAGTCGGGTTTCACGTATAGTAGAAAACATTAGTGTTCTCTAACAGTAATGTTATTTCATGTAACAACATCCTCATGCATGGGCGGAGCCAGGGGAGGACCAACCCTGGCTCTGCCCCAGTCTAAATTTAAAAAATGTTCATATTTTTAGTGTAAAAAATTCTGTGTAATTGTTTTTCCAAATATATTCTTTGTACCGGTCCAGTCCGGCTCGGTGCTCTGGCTCCACCCCTGTCCTCATGTACAAAAAAAAAACAGAAAGCAACGTAACCAGTGCATTTGAAAACACGATTAACATTAGTGTTCTCTAATGACTACACTAATAATTTATAATGGTGTAACCAAGTGAAATATTAAACCTGATTATGATATGATAATATACATATGAATGAGCCAGAACGCATCTTCAATTGACACGTTGTAACATTTCATTAGTGTGAAATTGTAAATGAAACATATACTACGTATTTCATTAAATTGTGATATGCATGGGGAATGCAATTTTGTCATTGAGAATTATATGCAACTAATCTACACATACTTCGGAGTAGAAGAGAAAAGGAAAAGAACAATTTATGGAATGATAATAATAGAAGTTATTATAGAATTAAATAAGCTCAGCAGAAGTGCAAAACTGAAAAAGATTGGGAGAGTAAATAAATTAGAGCTCCGTTGATTTGCATAAATATTCATCTTCCCCACAGTCACATGTCTGCACCTCTGGAGATGAGAATGGGGTCATATGCTTCCCTTTGTTCCACCTTGATGAAGTTTTGCGAGGCAAGAACTGCACACAGGTTTAAACAGCCCCCAAACAGATCAGAAATTTAAGTGATGCAACTATATGTATTACTCGTAATTAATTTTAAGGAAGAAGCATGCAGGCAGGGGCGGACCGTAGTAGAGATCCGGGGGGTTACCGCCCCCAACAGAATTTTTTTTAGTGTATATATATACGAAAAATAAATTTTGCTCTCCCAAAAAGTATTTTGAGCCCCCCAAAAATATTTTCACCCCCACAACATGACTTTCCTGGGTCCGGCCCTGCATGCAGGCTGGAGAAACAATTGAATACCACAAGTCTGAAAAAACATGCAGGCTGCCTCTTTTCTGCTCATCCCAGCTGTCAGATCGTTCAGGCTTTCCACTTTTGGAGCACCAGGTGCATCGAAATGAGTCTTCAGCTGCCTGTATCCATTGTCATTTCATTAATGAAAATAAGTTCATTCTAAAATTTCAATGGATGCTAAAAAAACATTTAAGCATTTGGAATTACCCTCGAATTGAGTCTGTAATCTCATCTACTGGCAGGGTAGTATTTGGGATTTCCATCTGTGTTGGTCCGGTTTCAATCAATATTTCTGCAGAAATGTGGTCAAGGATGAACCACAAAACATTATAACTATTCTTATGAGATACTAAAGAAACTTCAATCAAACATATACACATACATTTAAATATAGTTTTTTTCTCCAAAAAGGAGTAAAAGGTAGACAAAGTGCGCAACTAAGAGTAACTATATTTTCTTCCAAAATACGTAGTATAACTTAGTAGGTATTATTCATTTCATTTCATTTTCATTTACCCCAGTGCCGCCTCCCACCTACTCTGGGGTAAGGGGGGTCGGATGTACGCAGTCTTACCCCTATACTAAAGCACAGAGAGATTGTTTAAGGATGACCCATAGTGAAAATCCCATTCAAAATTGCATGGACTGACTGCTACTTCATAACTAAGAAGCGCAGGCAGTTTAGTGAGCCATTTTGCTTTATTCCATCATAATCTCAAGCTAAAAAATAATGAATCTTTGGCTACATTGCAAATGATGGAAAAACTTATTAGGTATTATTAAAAGAATAAAATTAACCCATTTAAGTGTGAATGAGTCCTATTTTTGAAAGAAAAGTAGAAAACAATGATGGTTCTATTTGTTTACTTTTCTACGTTTTAGTCATATTTAAGGATTTTTCTCTATAAATATTTGTGTTTGTAGTCATGTCGTGTCTGTACCATTGTCAAGATTTAAATCACTCTCAGGCAGGTCAGAAAGTCTAGTCATTTTGAAGTCTGGTTCAGCATAATCTTCTGCCACTGTTTCAAGTCCGATTCCAGTAGGCCTGTTTGAAGAGTATGATCTCTTTCTGGATGACCTGAAAAGTTTTGAATTCAAAGGAGTATTAACTATTGTTTCCAAATTTAAATAGAGACACATACACAAAAGTGAATGCTAACATGCTAAAGTGGGTATCAGGACTTCCAGATGTGGTAGCAATATCTGTGGCTTCATTCCCAAGAATATTATTTTCACTGAGGACTACCCTGATGTTGTCACTTAAGTTCACTTCTATGTTTGTGAAATCCCCCCTACGTTTTTCCATTGAAGGATTGATTCTTTGGCTTCCTCCACTTTGAAAATCCTCAAAGGCCTTCATATAACAAAAATCATTCGACCAGTTAGCAGTTACATAACCAACACACACACACACATATGTGTGTGTGTGTGATTAACAAGATTTTGCCAAATATTGGTAATTTACATGTGCTGAGTGATCTGAAAACATAATATGCTCTGACGATGATGGCTCAAAAGGTTGACTACCAGAGTCCATTGCTGCATGTAAAAGTAAATTTTGGCTCATTTTACACACACACACACAGTCTGTGGAGAGAATCTTAAAATGATATTTGTACGAGACTATCTAACTAACCAGAATGTGAAGCAGGCTGGATGCTACTCATCCATAGGTCTAGAAGAGGCTTTGGATAGTAAACTTCTCTACTCCCTTCAGTGAATAGCCCCTCCATTAGCACATGAGGAGGCAGCTCCATGTGTCTGATTACCTTTGCTTTTGAAAATGCATCCGTGTTCTATAAAGTACATAAAAGTTTGACATGGAGTAGAAAAGTGAACGGTTAATTATGAAGAAATCTTAAAAGTTATCGGAAATTCTTACTACTATTCAATGAGACATGTCTTGTAAATGAGAACACCTTCGTTTAAGGCAATTGGAACCTAAAAGATCTGAAAAATGTACATTTATGCATTCGGAGTGTCAAAGGCATACCTGTTTTCTACTTCCTCTTCTTGAGACTATATCTGAACAATCACCTAGCCAGTCCTTGTATATGTGATTGAGGACGACAGTCTGATTATCTATGGTAATTGCAGCCTTTCTTGCTCTCCGTCGAGGTGGACGTGGCCTTTCTTGGTCCTTTGGCTGCTGCTAAGTTTAATATTCATATAGAAGAGACAAAGCCCTTAGTGTGTCACTTCATTGTTCTCGATGTTTACACATACACTTTTTTAGTATTTCATGTATCTGTAATTATTTAATTAGTTATTCATGTTGGAAAACTAACCTGAATATCTCCTTTTCTGTCATCAGATTGCTGATTGACCAGGTCTTCAGGATGTTGCTCAAGGACCTCATTAGCTGAAAAAAATTCAACAGTTCAGCTTCCTTAACTAAGACTTTGGTTTCACCATTTGGTGATTGGTTTACAACTTTTATTCATATTTACAGTTCATTATTAGTGGTTACTACATGATTAGTAGTTACAATTCGTGATCCACCATTTGGTGGACATGAATTACAGAGTCACTATACTTAATAACTGTAAATGTGTTCTCTAATTTCTGTGCACCAAGGGATTCAACAAGAACCGTATCATCCCAATCATAACATGCTTCAAACTGTAAGGAAACAAAAATGAATCAATATATTTTTAACCAGGTCAAGTTAAGACTTGAGAGTTCTATCAAAGTAAATATTTATCAGAGTCATTGCACATTTTATTAAAATTTCCTCATTTCCAGATATTGTTTATACTAGCAATACTCCAACAAAGCTATTGAAGTAAACACCAAGTACATACATTCAGCAGATGTTCACCTAACTGCAGCAGTTTCAAATTTCAATTGTTATGTTTTTCAGTTCTAAGAAATTTGACTAATATTAAGTGCATTTAGACACTCACACAAACCAGAAGTTTTTTGTTCACCATTATGTTGCTCAGGTGGAGATGGTATGAGAGTACATGGGATTGGAATGTCATCAAAATATGGCTGTGTCTCCTCATCTCCTTCAATATCAAACCTGCCAGGCAGTTTGTAAGTTGTGAAGTGAGAATGAAATGGCCCAAGAAATGACAGTTAGTTTGTGTGATTATGGGTTTCACCTTTCAAAGCGACTATTTAGATTTGTGGCTTCTCGATGTGAGTCAAAGTGATCACCTAGAGTAATGTCAGCTGCATCAGCTGGAGTAAAGACATGGAATATAAATACATTAGCAATCTAGAAATCTGGTAAAATAGTACTCTAGAAAACTGATCACATAGTAATTTAGAGCCATACTGTCCTACCAAGGGTAAAATTATACCTTGATGACAGTCTTCTAAATCGACATTAATGAACGGAATTTCCACATCCTCTAAGCACTAAATGAAAGATTCTTTGGATCAACTAAAAAATGACATGTTAAAAAGAATGGAAGAAATACAGTAACTATCAAATCAGGCTCCTGTGCGAAACTTAAGTTAACTAATGATGCTGAGAGTGAACCGCAGAATTGAGGGTCGAAGACTCGAAATGTCAAACTACTGTGCAAGAATTTGCAAGAAATGGAATGAACATAATCACATGTGATATAAAAATGCTCTACTCTGTATTATATTCATAAAGTTTCAGGTGCTATTTTCTAGCAAACAGTATATGTTTTTCATAATAATTCACCATTGTAGCATTTGTGGTTGGCAGGAAAAACATCATTTTGTCCCGTTCCTCTTCCAAAGTAACAGCTTCATTCCTATGGATGTCAGAATACAAGAAAATGAAAACATAAGACATTTGAAACAGATATAAAGAAAACTTAGGATTTAGTCAGTTGCATTCCTGCCCATTTCACCCCTTATGCCAAAAAAGCTATTCCATAGATTCAGTGTAAGATACTATATGAACATTATGAAGCACCAAAAACATCATTTGAGATATGAGGTGATAGTTAGTTATACCTAGAGTATTAATGTCTTAGAACCCAAAATAAGGTGGTACCGTGGGATGTGAATGATAGGAACCCCGTTAAACTTAACCTAAATCCTAGTAGGGATTCTACTAAGGTTCACACTAGAAGACATAAGAAGAGGGCTGATGAGTCTTTTGATAATTATGAGGAGAGAAGCGGAGAAGCAACTAACTGAATTGGAAGTGGGACCAGAAGTGGCGGAAGAATAAAAGAAAGCTGGAAGGAGAGAGAAGGCAGTGGGGCAGTGGGTTAGAATAGGAGAGAGGCCCTCTCGAATGGTGTCAACCTTTTTACTGTATTTCCTTGTTCTGGAAGTATTTTCCTTCTTTTTCCACTGTTGAGATTTACAGATTTTACCGTCTATGTGCTAATCCTTTACTCAATACATCATCTATAATGAGCTGGAGTGTGCTGTGTGCGTGTTCTATCAGTGAGACCATGCTAGAGATGAATGATGACACTCACTTGGCTTTTTTTTCTTTCTTCTTGGGGAGCTGGGTAGGATCTGGTAAAGTTACATTCACCTTCCAAACTCTATTAACTTCCACCTGAAAGCATCAATATAAAAGCGGTTGAAATAAATCTAAAAGTGAAATAGAAGAACACTTAGAATGAAGGAGATAATGTAAAGAATACCATGAGCCGGTTTACATCATCTGCACAAACCAACCGAAAATCCCAGCAACAAAATTCAAAACAAAATCATTAACTAGCTCCCAGAAATTAATTAAACTATTGATGTTTTCAGAAGGAAATAAAATATATGTAGATGTTCACCATAAAGAAATTTCACTTTATGTTGGTAGACTTTTACAACACCACCTGAAAAACAAAACAAAGGTTTATTAAAATTGCATTTCTAAAGGCCAACGGCACAGCTAAAAACTTACTTGGAGACTGCAATTTTATAAAATGTTAATACCCATCAGTATTCCGGACATTCTTAACGCCAAGGGTACTGGAGGGTTCAGGATCTCTTCGCTGCGCAAATAAGGGCACGAAGGTAATCAGCCCAACTAAGCAATTGAAGGGAAAATTTGAAGGGAAGAAGAAAAAAAAAATCAACCCATACCAGATCTGAACAATATTGAGCTTAGCTAACTGCCTCCTTGTCATCTTAGCATCAGAATTGGCGGCCAGCCTACAGGACGCAGACGCGCACACAGAACAGAAGATGGAGCGGAGAGTCAGTCACAAACGACGTCATAGTATATTATACGAAGAACAGAGTATATTATATTAACACCGACCAAGCTAACACCAAGCAGTATATATATTATATATCAGCAGAATGTACTATAGAGTTTGAAACTCGAACTATAATGTTATATAAATTGCTAGTGGATCGATCACAGTCATAACTTAGATAGACCACATTGAAGCATCCATTAATTATATATCACAATTCTGGTAATTATTTATACGTAGTGAAAAAAATCAGGGAGAAACAAGTTGAAAAGTTTGAACTCAATGCAAGTGAAAATCTGCAAAACTAATCAGCCTCTGGTCCGTGAAATGAAAATTGCTAGTCGATCGATCATAGTCATAAGTCATAACTTATATAGACTACATTGAAGCACCCATATATCATAACGCTGGTAATTAATTATTTATACGTAGTGAAAAAAATCAGGGAGAAACAAGTTGAAAAGCGTTTGAACGACAATGCAAGTGAAGATCCTCAAAACTAAACAGCGTCTAGTCTGTGAAATGAAAATTGCTAGTGGATCGATCACAGTCATAACTGATACAGACTACATTGAAGCATCCATATCTCACAATGCTGGTAGTTATTTATACGTAGTGAAAAAATAAGGGAGAAACAAGTTGAAAGGCGTTTGAACGACAATGCAAGTGAAAATCTGCAAAACTAAACAGCCTCTGCTGGTCTGTGATTCAGTGAAATGAAAATTGAGAACATGAAGTGGAAAGGGACAGAGTATATGCTAAAAGCAGACCATATTTGCCCCATGGGCAGCTTGCGAGCTAGAATCTGGTGGGAGAAGAACATCCTTGGATCGTCGTTTTAGGCGCTGAGCGAAGAAATTGCAGAGAAAATGGATGGGGAGGAACGAAGAAGAGGGAAGTATGTATCTATAATAACGGGTGTGTATGTATATTATGAGTCGCTTTAATTAATTTTGTAACAAACAAAGGAGTGAGAGAAGTGGTCCTGCTCTGCTAAATCCCCTGGGGAGCATTTTCCGCGATTTAGTTAGTTATTCCACGTGTCTCATCCCCCTTAGCTGCTCAGACCACACTACTACTCCGTAGTCCGTACTAAATACTAATCCGGCCACACTAAATAATTTCAAGTACATGAGGAGTAGGGTTGTTAACGAACCGAGCTTTTATCGAACTATTCGAGTTCGAGCTCGGTTTCGAACCAAACGAGCCGAGCTTAATGAGCTTTCGAACACGAACCCGAGCTGAATTTTAAGTTCGAAAAATTAATCGAACCGAGCTCGAACATAGTAGTATTCGGCTCGGTTCGAACTCGAGCCTATCGAACACCCTAAAATTATAAGTATAATTAAAAATTTATATATAATTAGTATTATTTTATGAATTTAAATATGATTATTAAAGAATCGAATACTTGTCGAACCATTCGAGCACGAACCTATTAACGAGCATCACCTAAAATTTTAAATTCGAGCATATTTATCGAGCCTATCGAGTGCTCGGATCGAACATCGAACGCCTATCGAGCCGAACACAAAGCCTCATTTGTAAAGCTCGCCGAGCTTCGAGCTCGAACCCGAACACCACTAATTCCTTATCGAGCCGAACTCGATCTTTGGGTGTTCGGGCTCAGCTCGGCTCGTTAACATCCCTAATGAGGAGCATGTTTTAACTTTTAAAAAGATTATACAAAACACAAAATGCTCCTTTATAAAATGAATCTTCATTTTATTTGTGCACACACTTGATTTTCATTTTAGTAAAGGGAATTGACTATGACACCGAAAAGTGAATTGCCTCTACGTAGATAGTTCAAGACCACAAACAATTTCCTTTATTAAAATGAAAACCGATTTCTATACACATAAAAATGCATTTGACATGTAAACGGGCATGTAAGTCAGCGTGTACAAAGAGGTGAACCTACATAGGGGTCAGGGCCCCTATGGTTTTCTTTATTTCTTCTTATGTATATATATACAAAGTTTCGAGTTCGAAAATTTTGGAAAGGACCGCTGCCTGGCCACCTCATTTTGAGGTGGTTTCGGGTGGATTTTTTTTATGATAATTTTAAAGCATGTTCTTTATGAATCGTAAATTATGTCCACCAAATTTGAGCTAAAAATTTAATTGGGGAGTCAGTTAAATAATTTTTTGAAAATAATTGTGTTTTTTATGTATGTTTTGGTGCAGTTATCTTCAAAAACTTATTTACTTGACTCCCCGATTGATGTTTTAACTAAAATTTGATGGATATAATCTACGCTTCATGCCGAACATGTTCCAAAAATTTCATCAAAAAGTATTACCCGAAACCACCTCAAAATGAGGTGGCCTGACGACAGTCTTGTCCAGAAATTTCGATCAAGAATACTATTCTACATATATTTATTCCTGCTGCCCACTTTCCCTTTCCTATTATGTGCCCCTCCAAGACTCCAGAGCTAGTCCCGCCAATGGTGTACAAGTAGCATTTTTGTACAAAAATATCTATAATGTCACATACTACATGTTAAATGTAATTTAGTTATTAGTCAAGGGTATTTTTGTATGTTTATATTTACTAGTTTCCTATTTGTATTGGACTCTTAGGGGCTGTTTACATTTTTTCATTAAGTCCTGAATGAATTAAGACGTCTGTCTGGATTAAGATGTCTGTCTGGATAAAGTGACACTGAGATAACAAGCTGTTTACTATATGTGATGAATGAGATATCTGAATTATATTAAATGACCAAATAACCCTCATGTCTGGAATAAGTACTGAATGTATACTGTCTGTTTACTTTCCTTGTTCTGAACGATTATTTCATGTCTGAAAAACATTATATTATGAATTACTTACATAAAAGAGTCACATTACATTATGAAAAAGTCACGAATTTTACAACAATATTTTAAAGATAAACATTTGTTACTAGTGTATTACCGATTTCATCTCGGAAATTTGTCATTTACAATACTACCCAAATGTACAAAACTGGTTTTTTACCAAATCATGTGTCATTTACACAATAAAAAATAATTCATTTCTATGAACTACATTTGTGGTAACAGCTTCAGTGGGCATCTATCTTTTAGCTTGAGCTAGTATTGCTCATGCATTGTCTCTATCCTTTTCCAATCTTGCAATTACACGGCATGCACCATTATGCTGCCAAAATAACATTATAAACAACTTTAGCACATTAATTCCTATCATTGGTTCACCAGAAGATGGTACATGCACAAGTATAACACTTTCACGTTTCAAATGAACACAACTGCATCATTGTCTCATTTTGCTCGTATGTGTTCTGTAATCCACACTTGTCCATCTCTAACAGAAGGGAAATTCATCACACGACATGACAGCACTACTAGATATGTTTAAGTAGTTCATTCAGAAAGATTTTCCCTATGGACATGCTAGTTATATTTCTTATCTAGAACCTAAAAAGCTTTTAAGCCAGATATGCCAAAAGCATTTATAATCAACACATACACGTGAACAAATCTGGGCATTAAACTAAAGAAAGTATATCTTAAATTGGACTGAAAAATTGCCAAATGAAAGCAAACATTATCATCAAATCAGCCATTAAAATCTTGGTCAGTCATGAAAGCTTAGCCAAGAATGATTTGAGCTCACAAACTGTAACAATTGACCTGTGAATCTTCACCAATTGGTAGAAAGACTGAAAGGTGATTTTATACGAAGAAGAAGATGATGAAACCAATCAAAAGCTTGCCTTCATAGTTCATACATGTGACATATTTCTAAGAGATAGGCCTAAAAAAAGATTTCGAAGAGATAGAAAATAGATGGAGTTGGCTTTCTTTTTTAAAGAAAGAATCGAAGAGTCATTTGTTTTACGTTGAAAGATGAAAAAAGTGCAATAAAGAGAAACTAATTTTTAATGATTCCTGAAGGAAATATCTGTGAACTCTAGACTATATATGACTTTTGGTTCATAGAGAAACTTGATGATGGAAAAATTAATTAAATTGATTCTAGATTTTAAAACAGGGTTCAAATTGGATGGTTCAAGGTCTAGGTGTTCTTTCAGGATTAAAATTAAGTAAATTAATTTTCAATTATTCCTGGACAGAAAAAGAAATCAATTCTCATCGACAAGAATTGAAATATATTATCACAATCCTAACTTATTTCTAAGATCATATTGCTTGTATAAGACTCATGCTAATTTAACTCAATTTCTCATAGACAAGAATTGAATTAAATCCAGTCATTCATATATGAGGTGATCAAATTCATATAGACAATTATGACCAATCTTATACAATTTTCCAGAAAATTAATTGAATTTCAAAAACTAAATTCACACCCTAAAGAACCCATGAACCCTAGCCCCAATTCAAACCCTATATGGAATTGGCTACTCATAATTAAAATTAACATGAATAATATTGATAAGAATGGTAAGGAGCTACAAATAAAAACTGGAATATGAGTATTTAATGGAAAAATCACTACAGATAGATTCGAAATTCAATCCAAATTGTAGAACTAGTAATGTAAAAGCTTCTAACACTTACAATGATTGCTCAAAAGCTAAATTGAATCGAAAGAAATTGAAGAAACCTAAGCTTATGCATTTCCTGAGTCCTTTCATGGTGCTGCGGCTCTTCTACCAGAGAAGAAAAGAAAAATTGCTGCTCGATCTAGTTGCTGGTGCGGCTGAATGAATAGAAGGAATAAAGTGCTGGTGCAGCTATCTTCTACCTACGGCTGTTAAGAATGAAATCGCTGCGGCTGCTTTGGTTTGTTAGGAATGTATTAACTGAACGAACAGAAAGAAAAAAAAAATATTAACTCCCTCTACGACTGCTTACTCCAGGAAAGAAAAAACCCCAACTCCTTCTACCACCCTTGGGTGGGTCTACCATGTCTGATCTAGCCGAACAATTTCAGAAGTTTCTGGCATCTCAACCTAATTCCATGTCAGTCTCTCCTACTGTGGGTCTATCTTCTACGGACTCATCAGGTATATCATCTTCAGTTTGGATTCTTGACTCTGGAGCTTCTCATCGTATGTCATCTGACTTCAAATCTTTTACGTCTGTACATAAGTCTTCATGTATATCGGTGATGACTGCTGATGGTAGCCCTATGTTATTGAAAGGCATTGGTTCTATTTCCACACCTAAACTGTCTCTTTCCGATGTTTATTATATACCTAACCTCACTTTAAGTCTAGTTTTTGTTAGTCAACTGCGTGATTCTGGTTTCTCAATTTTTTCTTCAAGTCATTGTTATGTGCAGGATCCTCAATTGAAGAGGTTGATTGGGACAAGCCGTATGCAGGGGGACTTTATATTTTGGATGAGCTGAGGATTCCACATGTTGCTGCTCCTACTGTTGATTTATCATCTTTTCGCTTGAATTTGTCTTCTTCTAAGTTTTATTTATGGCATTGTCATCTTCACCTCGTCTAAAATACTTAGCATCAACTGGAGTTTTAGGGTTTTTACAACCAAATGACATTTCTGACCGTTGTGGTTGTAAACTTGCCAAGTTTCCGCTTTACCTTTTTGTAAGTGTTTCCATTTCTAAGGAACCTTTTGATTTGATTCATTCTGATGTATGAGGTCCATCCCCAGTTGCTACTAAGGGTTGATCAAGATACTATGTTTCTTTCATTAATGAATACACTCGTTATTGTTGGATATATCTTATGAAGCATCGTTCTGAATTCTTTGGTATTTATTCTGCTTTTTGTGCTTTGGTTAAAACTCAATATAACTCTGTTATTAAGTGCTTCCGCTGTGATTTAAGTTGTGAAATACACTTCTAACAGATTTTCTGAGTTACTTTCTTCTGATGGAACTCTTCATCAAGTCTCTTGTACTGACACCCCTCAACAAAATGTAGTTGCTGAAAGAAAGCATCGTCACATTCTTGAAACAACTC